GAGAGAGAGAGAGAAAGTTAACTAAGCATATAGAAAATAAGTTAACTAGTATATAACACCAGACTTGTGTGAGAACTGAGAGGCCCAACCACTACTGGGCAGACCATCCCCTCAGACTGGACAGACCATCCCCTCAGGCCATGGCAGAAAGCTGGAAATATGACAAAAGAGGTCATTTGATGGCTCTGCTAGGTGTGCCTTTTATCTGTAACTAATCTTTGAAAAACTGTCTTCTGTTTTGCTTTGGGAACAAAGTTTTAAACACTTAGAAGCCAAAGTAAATCCCATCTGCCTGTCCTGGCAGCAGCAGAACCCACAGAGGTTTACCTGTTATCCAACACACCCTCGTCCTGAGGCTTTGCCCCTCTACCTTCCCATTCACTAATCACGGGCAGACAAGCTGTTTACCTATTCTCTGTGCTCACAGGGAAAAGCTGGCAACAAAGGCCTAGACATGATACCCGATACTTTAACAGAGTAAGAAAAATCTCAAATACCTGCCATTCTGGCTCCTGCTTGAGATCTCTCTCCTTCATTCCTTTGTCTGACCTTACTTAGTTGGTAAAGTAAATGTAAAATATCCCAACCATGAAAATAGAAATGCCTGTGCTTTTCATGTGTATGTGTGTTTTTTCCTGTGTAGTGTGATGCAATGTGGTAATTGAAATGATATTTATTAGATGCCTGAAACAAATAATCACACAAATGGACACAACAGAAACCTCAACCCTGTACCATCAGGAAACCCCTTTCTGGTTTCTAAACCCAGGTAGGTCTCAGGAGAGTAGACTGTACCTTGATCTTGTCATAGGCAATAAGTAAATACTATGTGAGATATGCCAAGAGGCTTTTTAAAAAGTTTTCATTGATTTTAGAGAGGGAGGAAGGGAGAGAGAGAAACATCAATAAGAGAGAAACATCAATTGGTTGCCTTCTGCATGCCCTCCACCTGGGATTGAGCCTGCAACCCGGGCATGTGCCCTGATCCAGAATAGAACTGTCGACCTCTTGGTGCATGGCTCACTCAACTACACTGGCTAGCAAGAGGGTATTATTTTTTTAAATTTATCTTTATTGATGATATTTCTTTTTGAAAGAATATTTGATAAGGAGATGCTCCTACTTCTCACCCATCCATAAAATCAACTTTTAGGAAACTACAAAACAAGTAATCAGTTACCCAAATTCTCTAAAGACAGCAGGATTTTAACTGGAGTTTTTGTGACCATGTTTCCATTATGACCACTTCCCGTGTTTTAACACTCACCGTGCATCATAGGTGGTACTTATGTTAGGTCTGCCTTCCCCACCATGAAGACAGGAATCATTTGCCATATTTAACCACCATATCTATGGTGTTTAGTACAATAGAAACATTTAAAATCTGCTGAATGGACTACCCACAGAAATTAAGGAAATAGGAAAAATATTTCTTTATACTGCTCTTTACTTGCCCTCACTTTCCCCAGACTATTATCAGCTTAACTTTACAGTGACAGCAACAGGGACATGGCTCAGTCCTTTCTCTCTAAGAATTCTAGAGATCCAAGAGGAACTGAACAGAGGGGAGGAGGTATAATAATTCCAGGGCTAGGCTGAGTCACATTCCTGTAGTTGCAAGAAACAGAAACCCACTGGAGAGAACTTAAGCATAAATGGGCATGTCCAGTAAGAGAGGGAAGAAGGAAGAAGCCAGGCCAGGTTTTGGGGGTTAGGAGGAGGATGAGAAAAACCTTCAGCATCACTGGCTCAGGATTATCTCCCTGTGAACCAAGTAGTCCTTCTTTCCTTGTTCACACTTTCCTTTAAGCAAATCAGCTTTCACTGCTTCTTCAAGCACACAAATGCCTCACAGCTCTAGGGTATATATGTTCCCAGCTCAAGGGACAAGCCTGCACTGAGACTAGCATTTCCTACTTGAAATTCTAAATTCCTGGGAAAATCAGATTTGCTCAGGGGCAAACAGCCTTAACCAGGCAAGTCTGGTTTCTCCTGGCTCCCTCCTACAGAGGACATGGGAGTTCCACAGAAAAGATAGGGTATGAGGACACTCCCAAAGCCGCAGCTGTGTTTGTTATCATGATGAGTTGACTCATCTTTCTTTGGTCTTCCACTCCCACAAGTTCACTCAGCCTTATCACACTGCCTTTTAGGCTCAGTCACTGCCACCAAACTTAGCCTTCAGTAGTCATTCTTTCTCATCTAATGTCTTCTGTTTCCTTCTCTCCATTAAACTTCAAATTCTCAGTGCTATCCAGTACATGACAAATACTATATTTAAAAGGTGTTTTAATGGACAAAATAAGCCATTATTATATCTACAAGATATTTTGTCTTATTTGGAATTTGGATACTACTATAAATACACAATGTGGTCATGTCCACTGAGTGGTGTCCATATTTCAGCCTCCAGATACACTGTACCTTTTCACTTATTTTATAACTAATATTACATACCCATCATTTAAGGATAATATTGACAAAAACACTTTTAAAAAGAAAGGATTATAAAACAACTTATTGGAAATTAAAAACTATTTCATGTTTTCTAATAAACCAAAAATGTAGCATAGTTCCTTATGAAATAAAATTATGCCTCTCTCAAGTTAAACAAAACTTAAATTCTTGTTCAGACATCAATGACTATGTTATCTAAATGCATATGATTCCTAGGTACATAAAAGCAAATTTCTGACCAATTATAAAGAACACAGTCTTTTGTTATTTTATTTCTCCATGGTAGTGGAATTATCCAACAAAAGATTATAGATATCATCTTGACCATATGTATGCCTTGTTCATTACAAATCCTGGCACCTAGCTTGATGGTCTGTATATAGTAGGTACAGAGTAAATGTTTGACTAGAATGTATACTTTTACCTATGTATTTGCAAATCAATACCACATATGTCTGAGGCTTTACATGCGTTCATATATCGCATATAATAAATGTATAAATTGCCTCAAGACAATCTTCTCAAACTGTAAGATGCTAGGGATCTTTTTAGAATGCAGATTCTGATTCAGAAGATCAGGACTGAAACCCAATATTTGCATTTCTAATAAGTTCTCAGTTGATCCTGATGCTGCTGGTCTACGGGCTCCATTTTAATGTCCAAGTAATCCCTTTTTACTCCTTATACTAGAACACCACAGGTAAAGTATGCAAATGATTAGAGGGTCCTTCTTCTCAATGGCTGTGCTCAGTCATTATGAAAATTACAATAATGTCCTCAGGGAAACTCATCTTTATTAACAGATTCAAGTCTTCAATAGCATTTATTTATTGAGCACCTATGCCAGGTGCAGAAGCTGCAGCAGCCTTTTAGTCATTCTTGCAGACAACTTAATAAATGATGAAAATGCAACTCAAGGCTTCTTCTGTATTCTCAGTGATATTCAAATAAAGAGAGCATCAGAGAATGACGCTTAAATGTGTATGAATGTGTATATGGTAAGGGGTTCTATAAATTATTGCTTAGGATCCTGTGTCATCATGAGGTTCCTATTAATCTTTATCTCAAGTACATTTCTTGTTTGCTTTCCCAAGCCTTCACCATTCTGCCCAGCTCTGCCTCTCCTCTGCCTTTGCAGTCAAGAAAATGACCAGTCTCTGGGATCAACTTCAATTTTTTGGATTATAGACCTTCCCCGTCTCTTTCAGTGAGATGTTGTAACAATCCTGATGAAAAAGCAAGACCACTGATCAGACTGGTTCATACCATTTAAAAGTCAAGAAAAAAAAATCAATCAGAGAATTCATTTCCCTTTCCATGTACCTAAGTCCCCATTATCACCTTTACATATAATGGTGTCTGCTGGAGGTACAATAGGTAAGAGACAAATGTAAGTATTCAGAATTCTAAGAAGTTTCTTCTTCACTAATGTAGGCTTGAGTACTTTGTTCATCTCAATGGTTATGGCACAAAATTCTAGAGACACATAAAACCTCAAAGATAATTTCAAAATCACAGAAAGCAATCACATCCTTAATAATTCATTTGTTCATAATCAGGCAAATTGTTATTTATGTTATTACAGCATTCTTTTGCCAGAGGCATAGACATAATCACATCTACAATTTATCATAGCATGAATTTATTTTAGTTATATTTTATAGCATATAGTTCTCAAACTGGGATACTTGTATCAAGAAAAAAGGTGCAAACTGTAGCAAGCCAGAGGGTATATGAGCCCGAACAGCAACTCTGAGGGATTTTTCTAGGATATCAATTTTAATTAAGATTTGAAAGAAGGGGAATAAGGGAAATGTTTACTAATATAACTGATGACGAATGTAAATAATGGTTTCACATTAAAGCAAAATGGAATAGGACGCCCAAATTTCATTATTTTTAATAATAAAATACTAACTGAAAAGAAAGTTCTTATTTGGGAGAGCTAAGTCTTCTCTCCCTACAAGGGAATATCTATCAGTATAAGAATCTAAGAATTAGTCATATCTTTTTCTTAAAGTATATTTGAAAGATTTGCTACTTATCAGTGTAAGGACATATTTCTCATGTAAGATCTTGGGGAAATGAGGTTGACTTCCATTTAGATTGTTTCAATCCTAAGAAAATTCTTTTAAGAACTGAATGTTCAATGTTGAATGTCTTGAATTTTAACAAATAAGGACAAATTTACTTCACAGATATAATCACTGGACAAAACTTTGAATTGTCTCAGGAAGTACTTTACAAAAAAGTTAAACGAAATGTCAGAGAACAGAGTGAAACTGCTGTAATCAGTCTATATATTGTAGTTCTTCCAATAATCTCATTCAGAAACTATGCATATATAATCAATTTCAGAACAAATTTCTTATTCTACATACTGAGAGCTTTAAAAAATCTAAAGTGATTTACTATGGGACTTTCCATTGATAATCCCAACCACAGGCATCACTACTCAAGAAGAAACTACAGAGAAAGCAATCTCAGAAGGAAGGGGAATTGAGATCAATGTTTAGTTTTTTTACAGAAATTCAGATACTTACAAGGCATCATATGATATATGCTTGGCCAATATTGTCCACTATCTCTCTTTAACCATACGCAAACTGTCCTGTAACAACAACAACAAAAAAAGTGTATTGATATAAGTATTTTTAGTCATAGGAAATTTTTGATAGAAACGAAACCTGTTAATAATTCACACATATGCATATTTATATGAAACATATCTTGCCGGGACTGGTTTGGCTCAATGGATAGAGCGTCGGCTTGGGGACTGAAGGGTCCCGGGTTCGATTCCGGTCAAGGGCATGTACCTTGGTTGCGGGCATATCCCCAGTAGGGGGTGTGCAAGAGGCAGCTGATCGATGACTCTCTCTCATCGATGTTTCTAACTCTGTATCTCTCTCCCTTCCTCTCTGTAAAAAATTACTTAAAAAATAAATAAATAAAATAAAATAAAATAAGAAACATATCTTAACTATACATAATATATATTAACTATTATATATAAAATATATATACATATATGCGAATATACCACATATGCCTCTCTATAGATCCTAAATTTAAGGCTTGTATCCATTAAGAATTATATATGACTCCTGAAATATCCCCATATGTCTATATGAGCACATGTAATGATGATAATGAAAATTATTATTATTTTTGTTGTTGTTTTGCCTCTCCGTGTTTATGATTCTCCCTCCCCCTCAAGTCTGCTGGAAACATTCAGGTGCCTGAGAGCTACTAGGTTTTACTACTGAAAGAAATGCAGAGATAAAATGAAGCAATATGCAGTATCTGACACACGGAGAAGGATTACATAGTAAATATGTAGTAAATTACATAGTCTTACAGGCCAGGCCAGTCTTGAGAGACAGTTCTTCCAAGCATGGCCTGGCAATTATAAGCTCTGAGAATCACATTTCCTGAGCTAAAGAACCAGTCTTTGGGCCCACCATGAAACAATGAAATCCTATAGCAAAAGCTATGAGTGACATTCCAGGCCAGCTGGCCAGATAGAGAGCTCAGAGAGGAGGAGCAAAAGAAAGAAAAAAGTAGTCAAGAGTGGGCCATTGGGCTCTGACCAGTGACCCCACCATGAATTACATGAGCCATGACATCATCTTATGCACAAGTCACCAAAACAAATACAACTAAGAGGTAAAGGGACAGTGTTCCATAGGCCACAGAAAGTAGCAGACATCAAAGAGAAATGAGCAGTTCTCCACTCATATGCTAGAAGGTTATATATGAACATATATGTTACACCTACACTCCATAGTCTTAAATCATCCAGGATAAAAATAAGACAAAGAAAGTATATATTTTCCTCAGAGAGTTGAACACTACCTAAACAAACTACTTAAGTCTTCATACTACATAGACTAAGTTTTAAATACTTTAGATTTTTCCCCCAGTTAATCAGTAAGTCATCTATAAGAAATATTAGGAAAAAGACTAGATTGACTACAGACAAAATAAATGTCATTATCTCTGCATGAACACAAGATACAGTGTAGTGATATATAGTAACAATACAGATACTTACAGAATCCCATCCTTCTCATCAACTATCCTAATTTTTGAGAAGGACAGGCATAATGGTAAGTAATTTGTAAAAAGTTATTTGATACATATACTATTTACACACATATCAGTCCTCATTTAAATTATTTTTATAATATATGCCATTACATTTTAATATGGAGAATACCTCAATAAGAATGAATGCAGGAGTGACATCATAAATATGGCACAGTGGGAAGCTCCAGGAATCAGACCCTATGCCAAACCAACTGTTGTGATGGCAAGAACTGACAGTTCTTGCCACCTCAATAGTGATTCTGACAGTTCTTGCCATCTCAACAGTTGATTTGGTGTAGGGTCTGATTCCTGGAGCTTCCCACTCTGGGTCAGTAGTTAAGTTTTGACATATGAACCCCGAGGTCATGGTTCGATTCCTAGTCAGAGCACATGTCTGGATATAGGCTTAATCTCAGTGTGGGGCATGAATGAGACAGCCAATTGATGATTCTAATTATTGAAGTTTCTGTCTCTCTCCCCCTCTCTCTTCCTCTCTGAAATCAATAAAAAACTATTTAAGAACAAAACAAACAAAAAACTCTAAAGTCTAGCTACATACTCGCAGGATACAAGGGAATGCTTGATGAAGTAAAAAGCTGGTATGCCAGTGAATTTCATGTTTTGCTAGTAGCTACCATCATGCATGCACTATTCCGGTAGCAGGCAGTTGTAGGAATATTCAGAGTGGTTTGCTGATATCAAAGTGGGAACCCTGCCCTCACAAAATTTGGGAATGTGTGTTGTGATTTGCTGGCAGTTCACTGAAAGACTCGAGAAGAGAATGGCCATTGTTTGAATCCAGAAGGGCTAAAGGGCCCCAGGTAATGTCTGTCAAAAGAATTTAAATGGACAGAAAACCTTTCTTCCCTTTATGAAATCCTGGTATTAAAGGAAATCAGCCCTAGCCAGTTTGGTTCAATGGACAGAGCATCCTGTCCATCAGTAGAGATGTGGATAAAAAACCTGTGCTATATTTACAAAATGGAATACTACTCAAATGCAAATAATAATAATAATAATAATAATAATAATAATGATGATGATGAAATCTTACCTTTTCCCAACAGTGTGGATAGACCTGGAGAGTATTATGCTAGGTGAAATAAGCTAGTCAGAGAATTATAAGAAGCATGTGATTTCATTTATATGTGGAATCTAATGAACAAAATAAATTAGAAACAGACTCATAGATACAGAGAACAGAATGACAGCTGTCAGAGGGAAGGGCAGCTGGGGGGCTGGGTGAAAAATGTGAACGGATTAAGCAAAGAAAAAAAACTCATAGGCACAGACAAGTATAGTAATTATCAGAGAAAGAGTATTAGGATCAGGTAGAAGAGGATAATGGGGGGATAGATGGTGTGCAAGGAGGCTTGACTTTGGGTGATGAACTACAACATACAGATGATGCATTACAGAACTGTACATAGGAAACCTATAATTTTATTAATAAATGTCACTCTAATAATTTAATAATTTTTTGAAAAGATGTGAAATACAAGAAATCTAGAGGATCTATCCTAATAACACACAAAATATTTTTAAGTAAAAAATTGTTACAAGAAATAACGAAGGACACCGTGAATTGACAAAAGATCCAATTCATCAAGAAGCAACTATAATTGTAAATATGTATGTGCCAAAAAACAGAGTAAAAAATGGTATCAACCCAATGAAAGCAGAACACACTTTTTTTTTGAAGTGCACAGGCAACATATTCCAAAACAGGCCATATGTTAAGTCATAAAACAATTCTCAATATACTTCAAAAGAATGAAATCATAGAAAATATCCTCTCCGACCACAAATAAATGAAACACTACAATCAACTAGAGGCCCAGTGCACAAATTCATCCACGGGTGGGGTTCCTCTGGGTGGTCTGCAGGGACTGGACCAAAGCCCGCAGTCCAATGCTGCCTGCAGCTCCTACTTGCCGCTCCCTTCAACCAAGCCCCACTGTGCCTGCCATAGGCTTGTGCCGTAACACTCCCCTATCAGGAGAGGCTCTCACTGCGATAGCAGTGCTCACCAGCCATAAGCCCTGCCTCTGGTGCCTTCCCAAGGGGAGTGGCCTGCAGGATTGGGCTGAAACCAGCTCTCCAACATTCCCCAAGGGGTCCCAGATTGCGAGAGGGTGCAGGCCAAGCTGAGGAACCCCACTAGTGCATGATCTGGCTGGGAAGGCACCATGGGAGGGCTCCAGGGTATGTCTGGCCCATCTCTCTCAGTCCCTTTTGGCCGAATCTCAGCAGCAAGTTAACCTACCGGTCAGAGCATCTGCCCCCTGGAGGTCAGTGCACATCATAGTGATCAGTCAAGCAACCTTAGCATATCATTAGCAAATTACACTTTGATTGGTTGTTCAGCTGTTCTGCTGTTTGATCTATTTGTATATTACCCTTTTATTATATAAGATGAGGGAAACTGGAAAAAAATCACAAGTATGTAGAAATTAAACATCATAACCTTAAGCAACTAATAAATAAAAGAGAATTCATTAGGAAAACTAGAACATACTTTGAGATAAAAGAAAATAAAAATACAACATATATATATATATATATATATATATATATATATATATATATATATAAAGCCTAAGCAACCATTCTACCATTCAACTGGTAACTATGACATGCTCTGACAAGCAAGGGGCAGACACTCTGATATGTAGGTTAGCTTGCTGCTGGGATCCAGCCAATCAGGACGGGGCCAGATGGGCCAGACATGCCCTGGAGCCTTCTCATGGTCCTTCCCCAGCCCCAATCGTGCACTGGTAGGGTCTGTCAGCCTGGCCTGTACCCTCTCACAACCTGGAACCCCTTGGGGAATGTCCACAGGCCAGGCCAAGGGTCCTCCCTTTACACGAATTTGTGCACTGGGCCTCTAGTCTATATATATATATAATGACCATTCAAAAGAATGAAGTACTGATATATGTTAAATTTTGATTAATCTCAAAAACATTATGCTAAATAAAAGCCAGATTTTTTTTTTTAAATCACATTTTGGATGATTCCTTTAATAAGAAAGGTCCTGAATTGACAAATCCATAGGGACAGAGAGCAGTTTAGAGGTTGCCAAGGGATGACAGTAGGGATGGATGGGGAGTGATTACTTAATGGGTAATGGAGTGTTCTGGGGTGAAGAAAAAGTTTTTAAACTAGAGAGCTGGTGGTTGCACAACCCTATGAATGCATGCACTTAACATCAAAATGAATTATACACTTTAAAGTTGTTAATTGTATGTTATAAATTTCAGCACAATAAAAAATTTAAAAGAATAATCAATAAAGGCTTTGCCTAAAGTTGAGGAAATCATTTTCAGTGATGTGACAACAAGCTTGACAAAAGCCAATGCACTGAAGATGGCAGAGATGAAAGCCAGAAAGAGCCAGGCCTCAATAACAAAACTGATGAAACAACCTTTAAACTAACTTTAGATTTGTTTGTGAAATAATTTTATTCCTTTTTACCTTAAGCCACTGTTAGGTAGATTTTATTACCAGGATCTGAATAAA